CGAATAATTTTTAGAATATTTCAAATTTGATTTGTACCAACCCTAAAATTAACAACCAATATGATATGAAGGTAACTCTTTTGGGCCTAGTTTTTGGGCCAAGAAATATCATTATAACAATTATGTTAGAAAAGATATTTGAAGAATTGTTGAATCACCAGAGAAAGCAGGGAAGAATATTTACTGATACCCGAATTTTGGCAATGCATCAAATAAAACACGGTTTATTCCTCTGAATTTTGATGTCAAAATTTGCCCTTAATAATCAGTAATCCCTAATAGGCCCTAATAATCCTATCGATTTTTCCAAAAAAATATTCCAATTGCATTGCACAAACGATAAGTCATCCTGGAAAGAAATAACTTTTAGAGTAATTTTTAGTCATATATTTCTTGATATTTCTTGTTTATTTACAATAGAAATGGCCTACCTTCCAGAATGTGAGACAACAAAATTGGAAACGTCGTTGTAAAAGACAGAGTGGTATTGATCCCCTTTGACACTTTTTTGCCAATTCTAAAAGGCTCATTATTCATGTCAAACCTCGTGCCAGTAACTATGGTTTAAAGATTTGTGAACGAACGGTTTTTAAAGAAAATTCGGTGTATTTGAAACACAAAATAGGGCAATAGGCAAAAGGTACATAACAACGTTAAGACATTTTCAGAAGAAGGAGAATCGAAAAGAAGTTCAACCTTTGCTTCAACTTAGGGTAGGAGTCTAAGCTTAACATTGTCAAATTTGGCTTCTGTCTGCGTCTTTGCTTCTAAAACCTTTTATCCTGTATATTTTTTGTTTACGGCCTATTTCAATGATACACAGTGCGACTAAAGTATGTATTTGGCTGCCATTATTATTTTAGAGGAACCCTTGTTATGATACTTTATTTGGTGCTAAAGACAAAAATGTTCACTATTTTGTTTCTTGTCTGTTTCTTTTTGCTTTTAAACAAATCATATCAGAGTACATTTTAACGCTTTTACTCATTATGTCGTTGTCGCTAAGAGTTTTCGTTAATTTTTTTGTATGAATACAACGTGGCTCATTTTTCAAGCCATTCAAACAACTAATCCATTTTGGTCAGTTAGGCCTAAAATCGATTGTCAAGTTAAGTGAAAGTTAACCAATTTAAACTTTGATGATTTTAACCATTTGGAGTTAAAGTAAATTATTTAGAAACGTATTAACGTGGGCACTACATACTACAGAGATTTTTATCATTTCAAAATGACCCAACAATTGATTCCAACATTATGGTTAATAACATTGCATAACTGAGCGCTTAGATTTTCAAAATTTGATGCTCACAACAGCCTTTCTTACAAACGATTTTATCTGACTCAGTGTACATATTCTTGCGACCTAAATATGCTTGACACTATAAAAGAAGCCCAACACTCAAAGTCTTAATACTGGATGAAACTACTTTCGAAATGTGAGTGATTTTAGGAATCCAAAAATTGGAATATACTGAGAGAAGAACATTCAATGTTATTTGACAAGCTTTTAAAAACGGTAAAAAGCAAAAATCCAGGCAAAAGTTCCAAGACTGATTTGAAGAATTAATGATTAGTGATGATCAAGATGGAGTGTCATAAAGTATGTGAAACAAACACGATGAAGAAATAAAAGAAAATTTTAAACATTCGTTTTATGAGAAGCTGAAAATTTCTAACGTTAGCTTTTTTCCAGCCAATCCAACAATTGCTTAAAAAATAGTTTAAACAGAAAAGAAATTCATTTTTTTTAATTTAGAAATTCATTTTAAGGTCTTATGTGAATGATATATATATATACTGTACAATGCAATGAAATTGAATATTTCCTTTTTCATTGCTCAAAAATGAATAAAAATTGCACTGAATATTTAAATGTTTAGTTTAAAGATAACTTGTACTGACAAGTACTGGCTAGTAAAAGAGCATATTTATCTTAAACACAAAAAAACTAAAAAACTTATCAAAGTAAATTAAAAAATAAAAGACTAGATTCCTGCCTATTATTCTACAATTTTGTGAATCTCTTTGACAAAATTATTGTTCAAAATAGGAATACCACTGAATTAAAAAAATTACCAACCATCATGTTGGATATTGCCATGCAGAACATAAATCATAAATGTTAAGTTTATGAGCATAAATTTCAGCTATATCAATGTAAACAATAGTAGGGCCTATTTGTAAGAGTTCTAATATATTTGAATGGTTCTTTAACTAGAACTTGCATGCTGGAGCTTTTATATCATTTGAAATGGAAATAAAACAAATTTAAATGAAAAGGAAAAAACATTAAATTAAACCCATGTGAGTTCTGATTCTAACTGACACTGTTTTAAGTGTATAATTTCACTGTACAAAAGTTTAGAAAATTATGGTATTAAAAATAAAATTGTTTAATTATGGTATGAATCATCTAAATTACGCTTGAATTGATAGGGACTTTGCTTTCATTCTTTGCCTGAGTGAAATACACTTTTAATTCTAATTGGAAGAATATAAAATTTTGATATAAAGCTTGCCAAAAGTGAAGTTGTTTAGATTGACCAGGCGTCCCTTTTATGAAAGAAATTTGTATGTCACGCCCTATGATACAAAGCATTTGTTATGGGATTCAAGCAAGCAGTTTTTATACTGACTGTTGATGATCTACCTGCTTAACATATTCTTCCCAGCAAAAATTTTATTACTCATTTAGAATTTTGTTTAGCTAAATTGTCCAGCCTACGAAACCGACAGGCTGTGAAAAGCTGTATTTCCAGTGAATTTGGCAGATGCAATTTAGTTATATTTGGCATTTTAGGTAACTGAGCCAATTTTAATGCCTCAGAAAACTAGCTGAAGAATCATGCTTTCAGATTGTTGATTCATAAAGACCCTGATGTCATATAACTTCGGTCTAACACACTGGTCTTACTCAGACAAGACAAGCTCTACTGTCTGTAGAAACAGTGTATACGGCATGGGAAAACAAATATTTTAACCATGCACAAACAGGCACCAAAGACAAGGCGAAATTAGCTTAAAAACCGGTCATGTTCTCGTGCGAAGATTTTCGACGCCAAATGAGGTCAAATCGGGCCATCCCAACCTAAGCAATTCCTTTGTTGGTGGTTTAATTCGCCTAAAAAAGTTACTGTACACAAAATGCTTCGTGACTGCTCGTCCGATCAGGACATGCGCATGCAAGCTCGTTAACCGCAAAAATACCTTGGACTCTACAACCTGGGCTTGGCGATGGATAAAAGTTTAAGTATAGAAAAGTGAATACCTTCAAGCTAAAAATATCAAGCCAGACACCTTTGATTGGACCGATGGCTCAACTATAACTCTATCACCCTTAGAAACTTTCTGACATTTCTTGGCTTAGTTTGCTTCTCGATTAAATCAGCGAAGTTTTTTACGGGGTTAGGCAGTGTGATGTAGCTTCTTGGCATATGACCGAGCAATATCTTTCTCTGGTGCTTACGTTAAGCGATGCTATTGATGAGATTTTTGAGAAAACCCTTGATGACTGAGGAAAGGTATCAGCCGAGGTATACAAGAGGAGTACAACGGTGAAAGCATCAGATCTTTAGGTGCCCATCCAGTGTCCAATACGTGTTACTCGTTGACAATAGCGCCCTAATCTTAGAACATGGGCAGATTTAACGTCCTGATCAATTGGCATACGTACATAGGAGGACTCAACTGCCGGTTTGTTTTCAAACATTGCCATCAAAATGGAATTAAGACTTTCTGTTTAATTTTACAGAAAATATCAAGGTACACAGAATTTCACTAAAATTCCCCCGCCAACAATGTAACTTTCACGAAACTAATATTAAGTATCGCCACTATGCCTTAAGCATTGTCCAAGGGAAGAGGAAATTACAACTCATAATGTGGGAAATTATAACTGCCTTTACTTTGATAGGACATATAAAGAAACAAAAAAGTTGAAATGAACTATTAAACCCCTTTTAGTCTCGTTGTCTTTTTTACATGTTTGTCAATTATAGAAACTGTCAAAGAAGGTAATTAAATGATACCTTTTATACGCTAGATATTTCTTTAACTGGTCATGAAAGGGGTCAAAGCAAAAAATATCATTCCTAAATGTCAAAAACTAAATGTTTTGAAATTAATCAACTGAAGATAAGAAAACATATTTCCTAATTATGGGGCTCTTTTGACCATTCATTCGAACAAGAAACCTGATTGTCTTTCCAGAACTATGGAGCATTAATTAATTCAGGTCCCTATTACTCTGATAAAATTCAATTCCAAATTTAAAACAGTCACGTACATCAACGTGTCAAAGAAATAAAGCTTCATACCCTATTTTTCTCAAAAACGTGACTGACTGACTAAGTGGGTAGCGATGAAAAACTTTTCGCTTATTTTTTCAAATGAAAGCATGCTATGGACCTGGATAAAACAGCTGCAACTGTTCAAATTGATGATAAGATATTCAAGCAGTTATGGAAGATTGTCACGAGAACTATGAAACATGGCTTGTGATGAACTGCATTAGCGTGTTACCCTTCTACTACCACATTAATCTTACCCATGCAAAGATCAAGAATCGTTGTAAAGGCTTTGGGTTATTAACAATTTGCGTTTTCTGCATAACGAGTCCATAATTAAAATGGAAAATATAAATACATTACAAATTATAGCGATCCACAAAGTACATGGTCATCGCTGGCCATCAGTCTTTGGAGTGTAGCCGGCCAAGTTTCCATTGGCCTAGCATGTAACTTTGGGTGTTGCTATTCCACAGCAATTCGGGGTATTTTCGAAAAAAAGAATCGATACTAACGTTTATAATGGCGAAAGTAACTTATAAACAACATTTAAAGTTGTGTAAGTAGCACGATTGACCTAGAAAACGATTTCGTGACCGATGCCGAACGAGAAATTAACAGCTTCGCGAGTCAGCTTTGATATCACACAAAGGGTTAAAACCAAGAGTTCGCTTGCAAATCTCAAAACATACAAAGTAACATATGGAACCTTACCAGTAGAATTCTGTCTCCTTTTCTTGAGCTTTTTACTTTGGAAAGCTTTGCTATAATGTTGTCTAAACTGCGCCTATGGTAAACAAGAGAGACAGTGTTATATCATGCGCGGAAGCCCTACTTGTAAGTGTATAAACCCGTTGTCTTCCAAGTAATGGAATACTTCAAGCAGCATTTGTTAAATTCAATGCCCAAATTAACTTCAATATTTCAAAGTAAATGATACTAAAATGATGTATCAACATATTGAGCTTACATTCTTTCGCTGGACACGAGAATCCTTGAAAGAAGAAACTTACAAATCCTGGAATACTTCTACGAGCTTTGTATGCAGACACCGGTAAACCGGCCTAACACTGACACCGTGAGTCTTAAAATCATTCCTTACCCCTTCTTGCCATCGAGGAAGCTAGTCATCTTTCCAAGGTTGTTCTCGAACTTCCATTCGGGCTACCAGTTAGCAGAACTTTGCCATGGCTAACGTGTTGTTTTCTGGTAAACTTTTCCAACTCACTCCAAGCAACATGGGCTGAGTTACTTTCTATAAAGCGCACAAAACAGCAAGTATTATAATCAACACAATGATTGCGTCAAGAAATTCGTGATCAACATGACAGCTGAATAACAAAAGAGAAACAAACCTTAAACAATAGAACAATAGGAAGTCGAAAAACCAACATAATATGATAACAATAGAACAATACCACACACTTCAGAATAACATGACAGGTTACAACAATGTAAAGAATCGGTGGATCATTTGTTTTGCTCTGTTGACCGATTAATAAACAACAAAACATGTCCTTTTTATTGGCTCTATTTTAAAACTAGCCAATCAGTGTGCCGCTTGAAAGACCCTCGTATTTTACATACGGGAACCTAAAGTACAACTTTGCTGTCAATGCTCTATTATTGATTTGGCGCCAGGACAAGCCGCAATACAAGAAAAGGTCGAAATCAGCCAATGATCGCTCAAACAGTTACGTCACGAAAGAAAGTGCTTTTTTGCGATGTTGCCGTTAGGAAGGCTCCCTAGCAACGGCAAAATGGCTTTTGGGTGGAAAATTTCTATCTTCTTGATAAAAAAGCCTTGTTAGCACCTCTATTGTAAACAATATTTAACTGATGATTGTCATAAACATTTTTTGTGAATTTTTGAAAATTAGATATTTGAGGCGGGATTGTTTTGAAATTTCACACATGGAGACAAGGCATCATTACACGATATAAAACTAATTTGTAGTTATTAATTGCGTGTTTAATTTTGACTTTAAAACAGTAACTGGAAAATTAACAATTTCTAACATGCCTCTTCGATTTGCAGGTGCCTAAACAGTTATGTCACTAGGCAAAGGACATAAATACTCCTGCTCTGCTATCATTAAATATTTAAACATCTTTAAAATGGAATGTTTCTGTTACTTTACTCTTGTGATATTCAGCTACTCGACCATAATGGTCAGAGCCCATATTCCCTACCATTACATACAAATTTGCGTTAATAAGCATTTAATTTGAGGCTACCTTGAATCCTTTCTTTCCACAAAGCCCTAAAAAATATGCTGGTTTAAAAACTGGCATGCTTGCTAGCCATGACAATCCACTTTGCCTAGTTTCTTTGATTGGGTGCACGGGATAGGGTTGAGAATCATAGACAATTCGAAGGGATATTAGCTGAGGGGGAGCAAACCCCTTTTATATAAAGAAGAGGACAATACCTTATTGCCTAAAACAATTAAAAGCTACTGAGCCTGGAGGGGCATTCGCCAACTAGTTATTACATTAACAAAAGGCCCTGTGGAAAAGAAATTCCAGCTGTCAGCCAGAGATATGATGTGCTTCGAAAGAGTAGGAGCTCTTTAGAGATTTTTTGAGCAGGGCCTTCGGGCATGAACCCATAAAGGGTAGTAAGGTATTTGCCTAGAAAATTATTGTGGCATGTTTTCTGCATGTATGGCTTGAGTGTAAAGTCCTCGTTGACGAAGATACTTGATTGTTTTTTCGACAATCCCTTGTTCCAGAGAGGAATTTTTTGCTCCCACATCCCCGAACACGACATTTGTGGCGATCCTGTTGTTGGGATCGTATTGTATTCGAAAAAGATTAATCAAGAACACCTGGGAAGCAAATTACAAATTTCACGTTCAAATAACAAACAAATCTCCAAGAAAATAAAGCCCTCATTCCGCCCCTCTATTCAATCAAGTGACGTCACAAGTCTGACTAAGTGAAGACAGCGTCATGACTTAATAACATCATCATCATAATCATCATCGTCATCATCATCATAATTGTTCATTGTTATTATATAAATACAGTAAATAGGCAATAAACCTCGTAATGCCAGGCTATCCCTGACAAATTAGAGCTTTTACAACTTGTTTAAAGTTATTAAAAGCAACAACAAAAACAAAAATACAAGATTTACCTTTTAAAGCAGTAATGATTACAAAGTTTAAGATTATTTTTAATAAAACATTGAACAAAGATTAAAAACAAAACATCAGCAACTAGCACAAAAGCACTTACTGGACAGAAGAAAGTCTGGAAATTTAAATAGGCGAGTCACAAATGACAATTTTCTAAAAACAATTTCAATGAAAAGAAACTTAAGGCGAAGACTTGAGGTGCAAAATGGATACCATTATATTTTTAATGCCTTGAGATGCTAGATGAGTGAAGGTGCTAGTATGGTTCGCGGACGACATATCCAAGGGGTGCAGTGGCGTAACCAAGAGGGGAATGGGGGGTCCGGACCCCCCACTTTTCTAAAGTATGGTCCGTGAGATTTGTCCAAAAACGTTTCCCCGCATTTGCGAGTGTTTGAAGGGCGTGGTCCAAAAAAATTCTGGGGTTGTGCCCCAGACCCCCTTCCACCACTTCCTATATTTTTTATTTTTTATCTTATTTTTGTAATCGAATTTTCTGTGCATAATACATACTTTTTTATAAAACACCTAGCTCGAGGACTAGTTTTTGAAGTTTCTTATTTTTGGACCTCTTTTGATCGAAATTTTGAACTAACAGTTTGTCAATTTAACTGCATATTTAGTGTCATGTAAATTGCGAAGTGAGCTTGCCTTTTTTGTTTGGTTTCAAACAAGCATTACACAACAAAATACTCGATAGCTACTTTTATAACACAATTTATCTGATTTTTAACTCCAAATCAATGTAAAAGGCTTCATAATTCTTGATTTTTCCAGTAATAAAAATCTTCAAAATCTAAAACTTCGTTAGGGATTTTGACTATAGTACTAACGGTTCTTTAATTTTTCCCGCCTTCTACATGCAGGTTACTTATAAAGAAAAGAGTGTAGTGTCCGGACATAACATGTGCTTGATAAGGTAATTAAATCTTCTATATGAGATGTTGTACTTATACCTGCAGTGTAAGATTTGTTATGATATTGTCGCTTTTGGTAAGGTTTTTATTGCAACTGTTATTTGAATGATGTTTTGCTTATTGCTTTCTGTTGTTCTGCTGCTATTCTTTATTTTTTTATTTTTGCTGGTATTTTATTGCTTGAGTTTTGTTGAACTTTAGTCTGTCTTGCTCTTTATTTTGCTCTTATCTTTCGGGCAAATCTCAGCCTGATGTTTTTCATAAACGTTGTTCTTATAATACAAATATTGTATGTGTTTGATATCCAGTACTTTGCTTTCGAATGTTTAATTTAATTTTCTATGTATAAAGAGCGTGGCCCTTCAGCAAGCTGATTTTCAAGGTCCCCCATCACTATGAAAATTTACAAAAAATCATAAAATTTTAGAAAATTGGATCCAATTAAAAAAAATTTAATACATATAAACTTTTAAAAACACTTTTACAGTTTAATGTATTATAAACGATACATAGATATTGCAAATATATATTGACAATTAAACGATACATATTGCAAATATATATTAACGATACATAGATATAACGTATTGCAAATATATATTGACAATTAAACAAGACATTGTTTAATACTGTTTACAGGAGTATACTTGCTTACACTCTGTTGAGAGGCTACTCCAAGTTTTGGGAAAATTGCTGTCCATTTTTGGAGTTTTTCTTTCGTAACCTCAGGCAGGTGATGTATTCTCAAGATTACTAGAGGTCAACTGAAATATTATGTGAAAATAATTTATATCTGAGTATACCCATTAAATGTTTTAAGGACCACAATACTAGATTCATTAATAACAAGCCCATTTATGAATTTGACAAGCAAATGCGCACAGCTAAATCATGCGAAATAATTGTCATTGTCATTGAAAAGGCTTGGAACATCACACATGGACATCACGTAATCATCTTTAATTACAAACTAGCAGAACAACAAAGCAAAATGAAGCTGCTTTAGAGAAATACCAGGTTGATCTTCTTGCATGTTATGTCTGACAATAATTACTTGAAACCAAGGGATGCCAGAAGGCAGGGGCGTCGAGAGGGTGGGTTAGGAGAAGCAAAAGGTCTGTGGCCCGTGCTCCGATGGGGCCCGTAATAAAGTAACAAGATCTGTTTAAAATGCAAAAAGATACTATTTCAGCTTTTTATATCGAATCAATGCCTGTAGGTTTAACGCATAGAAAGGTCCACATGTCCTTGATTCATGTAAGATGCTTTTGCACGTTCTTTTAAAAACCCTTAGAAAACTTTTCCAACAATTTTACCTAAGAAAGGCGTTTCCTTTGTTCCCCGGGAAATTTTCTTAAGGGGGTCCAGATTTGTGAATCACCCCTGGGCCCAAGCTGCCTCTCGACGGCCCTCCCAAAAGGACTGGAAGAAGAACATACTTGTGATATCAGGAAACGAGACAAGGAGTTTCATTATGACTGTCATTGCTATTACCACCGTGATTTAAAATGGATTTCATCCAGTAGCAACGCCACGTCCAAAAAACCATCTGACACTAGCTTTTACATACGTATGGTGGTGAGAAGTCTGTCTCAAAATCGAACCCTTGGAGGCCGAATATTGATGCTGGAGGAATTAGTGCCCTGTAAAGACAAAAAGAAACTATGATATATAATGGAAAACATGATTCATCATCAGGTACCATCTTCTATCAGAAGGTTGGCTATAATGGCCCTCCAACTATCCCTATCCTCAGAATATCAAAATCTGAGTTTTGGTTTGTTGTCATGGTCATAGATAAAACTAAGGTGCTAATAGTAGAGATGGGCCCCCAGAACCACCTCTACAGTGTTTTTAAAGGGACGCCATCCCTTTTGAAACATGATATATAATGGGGCACTATGATATATAATGGAAAACAGCAACCCCGAAAACGAATTCAATTTAAACATGAATGTTCAAAGCAAGATAAATCCTTTTTCTAAAGCGTATCATTCAGGGCCCATAGCACAAATAAAACCTATTCCTTGAACTCTACTCGAATTTTTCTTCGGCGATACATGCGGTGAATAGACTCAAATCAAGTAGAAGTTTTTTGGTAAAGAGAGGCTTCTCCAGTGGAAATAATTATTGAGAACAGATTGATTTTTATTGATTACTTATCAAGGCATTTTTTGCAATTAAGAAGCAAGCATAATCCGAGGGTACCGAATGGTCCCCTGGTTCCCGATTCCCCGCTATGTTTTTAAACCGGTTCCGATTTCCAATCATCAATTTCCAAATCCCGGTGTTATCCATTACCGAATCCCGCTCACAAAACTTGCCAGTTCCCGATTCCTGACTCCAAAAAATTGGCAATTCCCGCTTCGCAGACAAACATATTCGGTACCCTCTATCACACATGTAGAACTCTCTAGGTCTTATTAAACTAGGTAGC